TAGTTTAAAGCCCTCCTCACTAGGTTAGGAAGTCTGCCTGCGAAGATGCTCTTCCCTCTCTTCGTTAAGTGGATCCCATCTCTTTTTAGCAATCCTTTTTCCCGGAACAACATCCTATGGTCAAAGAATCCAAAGCCCTCTCTCTGACACCAGCTGCGTAACCACACATTTACCACCACAATTTGATGGTCCCTACCTGGGCATTTTCCTTCAACAGGGAGGATGGATGAGAACATGACTTGCACCTCAAATTCCTTTATCCTTCTTCCCAGAGGCATGCAGTCTGCATTGACCCACTCAGGGTCATTCTTGGCAGTATTATTGGTGCCCATGTGGAGAAGTAGGAAGGGGTTGCAGTCTGAGGGCTTGATCAGCCTCAGAAGACACTCTGTCACATCCTGAATTCTAGCTCCAGGCAAGCAGCACACTTCTTGAGTCTCCCAGCCTGGACGGCAGATGTATGATCTGTCCCACTTAGGAGGGAATCCCCGACCACCAGCACCAGTGTCCTCCTCTTGGGAGTGGTGGTTGTGGAAACCCCATTCCTAGGACAATGCATCCCATGCTTTCCAGTCGATGGGGTCTCCTTCTGATGCCTTCCCTCAGATAACTCTTCCAAACCATTCCCTGCCATAGTACTTGTGCACAGAGCCTGAAAATGGTTTCTTACCTCTATCTGCATTGTGAGTACATGGGTTCTCCTCTTTATTCTTCTGGAGGTCACATGCTGCCAATTTTCTTCCCTGTTCTGCACTGCCCTCTTTGATTCTTCAGCATGCTGTGTCTGCAGTACCAAACGCTGACTTCTATCCAGAAAGTCTTCATTTTCTTTGATGCAACTTTTTTTCCCACCCACTGCTAAAGGATCCCCCCCCAGCCTAAGAGGGGGGTCCACAGGACCTGGAAAACCAAATAATTATGGGGGACAACTAATGAACAACAGGGAAAGGAGTGCGGTCAAACGGTCAAATGAAGGGAACCGGATGGGGACACCGAGCAGAGAACCCCGGACAGCGCCCACTGCTCCTCAAAGGCGTCAAGGGAGTCAGTGGATGCCGCCCAGAGGATCACTGCCCGGAGGCGTGAACAGACAGAGGATCGGAAATAGGCCCCACAGTCACAGGAGACTCCATCGGCCAACCTCCTCACCCTGGTTTTATAAATGGCCACTTTAGCCAGGGCTTCTTTGATGCAATGCAGGGTTGATAATTGGATCTCTAGTCCTTTACTCTTCTCTTCCAATATGAAGACCAGCTTGCAGTTTGTACGGACGAAGTCGCTTCTATCCTCTGGGGGAAAGACAAACATGACACATCCTGTGCAGGTCACAACAGCTGATTATTCACTATCCATAATATCTTCCTTCTAAGAGCCTCTTCAGAAGTTTTACTTATTGCTCACAGAAGCCTGAAAGGCAAAAACAGTCTGTGGGATCTCCCCCAGGTGAACTCTCAGGCAAACTCCCTCTGTTTGCCTGTCCTCTGTTCACCTCATACAAAGATCTGCCAGTCTTTGTTCATGTTCAAGACACAGCGTCTCTCTCGGGGCTGGCAGTTTGATTGCTTCTGCTGATGCCTTGCAGTGCCCATGGTCACTGATCTTTAACTTTTAAAACTCTCAATATGAAATTTCAAATGTTAATAGTGTGGGGTTCTGATCCAAAGCTTAATTGACCTGGTTATGTGGATTCTAGCAAGACTATGCCACTGTCACTGTGACTCTGTGGGTCACAACTGATCATACCAAATTCAGGACTAGCTTCTGGGGAAAAGGACAGACAGAAAATTGGTGGTTATTCTTTCACAAGATATACCAAACCAGCAACAAAAATAAATTTCTGATTCACTACACTGGCTGACAAGAAGTCAGAAAAGCAGTCTCCTTAGTTACTCCCCCGTCCTGGATTCAACACCCAGACACTAGATTTAATAAGTGGTAATTTAAAACCAATTTAATCAAACAAAAGGGTTCTTCTGATCCCAAAAGACCAGCTACATATCCAGGTCAATATAAAACTCAGATCTTACCCAATAATCATGCTGTTGCCAATCCTTTAGTAGCTAATATCTAAAGATTTATTATAAAAAGAAAGAAAGACAGGTGAAAGTTAAAAGTGGTTAAAACAATCAAATACATACAATAAATGCAAAGTTCTTGGATCAGGTTTGTAGCAGTGATGGAATAAACTGCTGGCTTGTTAAGTCTCTGGTTACCTCCAAATCATTGGAAGGTCCTTAGTCCTTTGGTTAAAATGCTACCATTAGTACAAGTCCATGGTCCAGAAGTCTGAGCAGGAAAGAGGCAAAATGGAGGTGTTTCCAGGGCCTTTTATAGCTTCTGCCAAGTGAAGGGAACCCATTGTTCTCACTGTGAAAAATTACAGGTAACAAGATGGTGTTTGGAGTCACATGGGCAAGTCACATGTCCATGCATGCTTTGCTTAGTCATAGTAGAAGCCATTACCCATACTTTAGTTAGAATATTCACAGAAAAGTCCATTAAGTGTAGATAGGCATCTTCAGTGGTCCATCGGGAGCTAGGTGTTCTGCTTTGATGGGCTATTTAACTTGAATAGTCCCTTCAAGGTGTGCAGGCTAATTAGCTTGTGGGTGTTACCACATGAGCAAACATTTAAAATACAGGTACACAGTTAATATTCATAACTTTAGATACAAAAATGATACATGTATACTAAATAGCAGGATCATATTCAGCAAATCATAACTTTTCTATTGACACCTTACTTGACATACTTTCTACAAGATTTATTGCTATTATGTAACAGTGATAACAACAATCATCAACATGGTCATATTTAAATCAGATAACATTATACCACCCAGTGCTGGGGTCAGAGGCGCTGCAGACATGCCACCCGCCCCGCACTGTGAGGTTGGGGTCGGGGGCTCTGAGACTGCACCTTCCACCCTGCTCTCCGGGGCTGGGATTGGGGGGTGGGGGATGGCTCAGGACACGGGTGGGGGGCGGGGTGTGTGTGCTCTGGGCTTCACCGGCAGGGAAGGAGGTGGAGGGGTGGGACATTGGGTGGAAAGAGAGGAGACAGGGCTAGCCTCCCCCAATAGAGGGTTCACCTGCCACCCATGTCTGCACTGTTTTGTGTCTTTCTCTCTTCCCCTCTCTGTGCTTCTGGCTCTTCTGCCCTTTACTCCCCCTTTGCCCTGCTTAGGACTCACCAGTCACTAATATTTCTGTGGCTCCCACCATGTGCAGAGCACGACACAGACCAACCAGGAGACACAGATACATCTCTAGATACTCAAGAGCTAAACAGACCCTTTGCGCACCTGCAGGGTTATTGTGTTTACTCACTAATATCCCCCTAGCCCCTCAGCACAGGGCATGTCACAGACAGACGCAGACACGGCTCCTGCTCAGGGAGCTCACAGACCGGGGGCACTAAACCATGTTTAAGTGTTCCCTGGCACAGAGGGAGGGTTCGGGGCTCCCTGGGAAGAGGGTTTTGAGGAGGGGCATGAAGGAGAAGAGGAGGGTGGAGGTTATGGGACCAGGTTCCAGGTAGATGAGAAGGGTGTGGCAGGGGAAACGTGGCTGGGGTGAAGTGAACACGTGGGGAAAGGAAGAGAAAAGGTACCTGAGCTCCTTCCCATGAGTGGGTCCCACCCACCCAGCCTGGGCCCATCGCTCACACAGGCCTGGGGCTGGGTTCTCACTCCCCTTCCCCTGGCCCAGCTACCGAATCCCTTCCCCAGCTCTTCCCACCCCAACCTCCATCACATTGGAGCCAGGTTCCAGGCAAAGACAAAGGACATGGGGGTGGGAGGAGCCTTGTGGCCATTGTGGAACAAACACACAGGCAGAGACTTCCCCAGGGCAGGAAATGCTGGGACGTTCCCCTCGCTCACTGGCACCATCACATTCACTGGACTCCCGGGCTTGGCTTTTCTCTGGGAGTCACATAACTCAATAAATGGCCCTGAGCAGTCCTGGGAATCCCCCGAGCCCCCACCCCCTGCTGCACAGACACAGCCCCCCACAGCTGGACGGGTAATGCTGGGTGGGGCCCTGTCAGGAGTAGATACAGGTGTCTGTCTCTCTGGTCACTGTGTGTAACAGGGAGTGAATTCAGTTCAACGGGCCTCAAGCACACGCTGATGGACTGTAGGTAATTGGGGGCTGAGTTGCCAAGTGCTCCCTAGAGTGATGCTGTCCAATCAGGGGCACAACTTCATCCCCTAAATCAGCCAACCCCCTCCCAATGTCCCATGTATGGACATGTCCTCCCAGCTCAGCAGTATTCTGGGCTATGGCTGAATCAGGTCAGTGCCTTTCCAAGACACGTGAAACCCCTCAGCTCATGGCTCTCTGTATTCAGACGGGGGCCGGGTGGGAGCATTTCTCTGACTGTTCTTCACACTCGTCTTATAAACAATTGTACTGGGAACATTTGCAGTGTGAAAGGCATGTTCCTCACTTCTTAAAGTCCAGCACCCTGTACCCCTCTGTCCCTGCACCCCTAAAGCCAAGCAGCCTGCACTCCCCTCTGCATCTTCACCCCCCACAGCCTGACAGCCTCCACCCACTCTGCCCCTGCACCCCCATCTGCCCTTCCAGCCTGCTCCCCCACCCCTTCTCTGCCCCTCTCTTCTTCTCCAGCTCACAGGCCTGGTGCTGGGGAATGAGAAGGGAAGCTGCTGGGGGAACGCAGGTGAGCCCTTTAGATCATCCCCAATGGGAACAGTTTGTGCAAGATTATAATTTAGCCAGGCTCCCTCGGAAGGGTTAGTATGATGAGGACAGGAATTTGGAGAGGTGCCGGGATGCAGGGTGGAGAACACAGGGTAGCTGGGCACAGCAGCTCACCACAGATGCTCACTGGTTTATATTATTAAAAGTTTTATTCCTGCCTCATTCACCAATTTGTGTTTTAAAGAACCCCAAGATCATTACATACCTCATGGGAACAGCCCTGGGGGCTGGTCAGCACCGGGAGGGGACAGTCTCTGCCCTGGGTGTCACTGTCAGGGACAGAGATTCCCTACGGCCTGAGCTGGGACCGGGCAGATTATTAGGGAAGCAGCATTTCTACCCCCAGCATTGAGACCAGGACAGAAATAAGGGTGGAGTGTCCCGGAGAAGGTGCCAGTGAAAGTGAAGAGATGGGACCTGTCAGTCACATTGTAAAATGAGACCTCACCCGCCTCATAGTCGAGGAAAATCCCCTCTCGGCTGGGCCTGATGCTCACGGGGAGGGAAGTTCGGGGGGAGGTGAGGACCTTGTATTCCCCATCCCACAGCCACATGGCCCAGTATCCATTCTCAGTTGTGAGTATGACACACCCCTTCCTGCTCACAGATTCTCTACAAACCCCCAGCATCCAGTCAGTCATGTCTCCCACCTCCACCTCCCAATAACATCTCCCGCCCGTGAACCCCTCAGCACCCAGAACACAGTGACAACAATCAAATCTCTCAGGATTGTCTGGTAGATCCTGTCGTGTGTCTCTGTGTCTCACATGTTTCCGATCCTCAGACAGGAGAAGGTTGGGATGAGCCGTGTCTGGATCCAGAGTCACGTCCACTGGGGAGAGAGTCACAGAGTCAGTACTGGGGGCAGGGGTTGGTCACTGGCAACAAAGGGAAATCAACCTGTGTCCCCATTAATCGCTGTGCCTGCGGGTTGTTGCCATTAAGGGGCATCAGGACTCTGTTTGCCCATGAGAGTACTTGAGGGGAATGAGAGAAGGGACAGGGGTGGGGGTGGGAAGTTGTCAATGGAGGTGTGGGAGGGGAGGGGTCAGCGAGATGGGGAGGGGACAGGCTGGTGCTGGGAGAAGAAAGGGCCAAGGGGAGGGGCAGAGAGGACAAAGGGGGGGCAGGCACAAGGGCATTGGGGGGCAAGAGAAGGAGCGGGCACCAGGAGGACAGAGGAGGGGGGTGAAGGGAAGGGCAGGTTCCAGGGGACTGTGGGGAGTAAGGTGGGCACCAGGGAGGACAGTCCCTAGAGTCACAGGGAAGCAAGGGAAGGGGTGAGAAGAGACGTGTGAAGGAATGCAGGGGCTCTAACAGGCAGGGGAAATGAGGAGAGGGGTGGGCTCTAGGGGGCCAGAGGGAAGTCAAGGAGAGAGACAAGTGCCAGTGGGTGGGGAATGAGGAGTGAAGTAGGTGCTAGGAGCATGAGGGGGAAGAGAATGAGCAAGCACCAGGGAGGCAGAGTGAGGCAGGAGCCCAGGGCATAGGGGGTGGCTAGGGCATGGTTTGTCACTGGAGGGCAAAGCAGGGTGAGGAGAGGGGCAGGTGTCAAGAGGGGCAGGTGTCAAGGGGACAGAGTGGGGTGATGGGAGGAATTGGTGCCAGGTGGCTAAGGGAGAAGAGTAGGGGCAGACACTAGGGATGGGGCTGGTGCCTAGGGGGAGAGAGGGGAGGGGTGGGCACCAGGGGCCAAAGGGGAGCAAGAGAAGTGGCAGGCAGTGGGACACAGAGGGCGGGAGAGGGAAGGGGGTTGCACCAGGAGACACAAGGGGTGAACAGAGGGGCATGTGCCAGGGGACTAGAGGGGCACAAGGGAAGGGGCATAGATGACCAGGGGACAAAGGGGGTAAGGCATGCATCAGAGGGGCATGGGGGAGAGTGGGCAGGGGTGGGCACCAAGAGGGAGATGTGGGAGGGAAGGGGGAGATCCCAGGGGGCAACAAGGGAGCGAGAGAATTGGTAGCCATTAAGAGAAGGATGGTAGTGGTGGATACCACAGGCACATAGTGGGGGCTGGCAAGGGAAGGAGTAGGCACTCCCTCCTAGAGCCCGCAACCTAACCTCTCTGCCCCAGGTCAGAATGCCCTCCCATACCCAAACTCCCTCCCAGAGCCCACATCCTGAGCCCCCACCAACACCCCAACACCCTGCCCCAGCCATAAGCACCCTCCTGCACCCAAACTCCCTCCCGGAACCTGCACCCCAAACCCCCTCCCATGATCCAAACCCCTGCCCCAGGCTCAGCTCAGAGTCCCCTCTCACACTCCCAACCCTATGGTGCCACTGTTTGCTATCACTTATAATAACTTAAAATCTTTCTTTCTGTAGTTTATAAACCTGCTTTATGTTTTCTCTTAACCAGTGCATTTTGAGTGAAGCGTTGGGAACAGGTCGGTGTCATCCCCACACACACTGGCCGGGCAGCCCTGCCCCAGAGGGCGCAGCTGGGACTCTCTGTTAGGATATAGATATTCAAGCCTGTCTGTAAAGGCCTATACTCTAAGAATTTAGGTGTATTCTTATCACTTGGTTAGTGATAGAGGTATAAAAGAAAGAATCAAAACCACTGTCTGCCAGTGTAAGGGCCTTCTCTTACTGTGACAGTTTGTGGCCCTGTGCTTAGGCTCAGGCCTTTGGCTAAGCAGCAGAGGCAGCCATAAGCTGGGAAGCGAACGGTCACATCCTCACATTCCAAACTAATCACATTGAAATAAGGTGCTATTGGGCTGTTAGGCACTATCAGGACAGGATTGTATTCCTATCACCTCCAGAGAAAGGGAAGTGCCTAGAAAATGTAAAAGGAAACTTAGTTTGATAGCATCCTGTCTGGCAAGAACTCACTTATCAATAGCTGGGATGTGAAATCCTCACTTCTGTATTGTTTTGTCATTATAGTTCCCACTTTGCTGTTGTTTGTCTGTATAATCTCTGTCTGGTTCTGTGATTGTTCCGGTCTGCTGTATAATTAATTTTGCTGGGTGTAAACTAATTGAGGTGGTGGGATATAATTGGTTACATAATCATGTTACAATATGTTAGGATTGGTTAGTTAAATTTCAGGAAAATGATTGGTTAAGGTATAGCTAAGCAGAACTCAAGTTTTACTATATAATCTGTACTCAATGAGGAAGTGACTGGGTGTGGGTGGGGGTGGGCATGTGGGTGTGTGAGATGGGAACAGGGAATGGGGGTAAGAAAATTGGAATCATGTTTTGCTAAAGGGGGAGTTGGGAACAGGGAATGGGGGTAAGAAAATTGGAATCATGTTTTGCGAAAGGGGGAAATGGGAACAGGGAATGGGAGTAAGGAAGTTGGAATCATGTTTGGCTAAGGGCAGGAATGGGAACAGGGACACAGGTGTAAGGCTTTGTGGTGTCAGAGCTGGGAAGGAGGATACTAAGGAAGGAAACTGGAATCATGCTTGCTGGAAGTTCACCCCAATAAACATCGAATTGTTTGCACCTTTGGACTTCGGGTATTGTTGCTCTCTGTTCATGCGAGAAGGACCAGGGAAGTAAGTGGGTGAATGAATAAGCCCCCTAACACTCTCCATGCCGGCTGACTCCATAGGCACCACCTTCCAACCAGGAAAAGCCCACAGCCAGCTCCTCCCATCACCCGGCCCAGCCCCTCCCCCAGGACACAGTCGGGGTGTCTGGGCTGAGCTCACTTGGCAGGGGGCAGGGCAGTGGAGGGATGGGCAGTAGGGGATGCTTGGAGGTTTAAGTGGTTACTGGGGGGAACAGGGACTGTTGCTAATGAGGCAGTGGGGAGGGGAGGGGAGAGGGCATTTCCCAACTTGCTGTCCCCTCCATCTGGGATAAGCTGCACTGGGTGCCAGTCCCAGTTCACAGCTTCACAGAGCATCTGCACTAGGGGTTTGCATTGGGGCATCTACCTGGCTGAGACACCACTGTGCCAGGGGCTGTAACCCCTCCCATCACTGGGGTTATGGATCAGTAATTATAGGGGCATTGGAGCAGGGGAGCTGGACTCTGAGACTCCCAGGCAGGTCCCAATCCACTGGACTGGAGAACCATTTTCACTCTGACACTCTGGCCCAGTGCCTAAGGCAGTATTTACACACATGGGGACCTCTTCAGCAGGAGAGATTGAGGAAGCCACACATCAGACACCCCAGAGCCCAGTGGTTCGAGCCCTCACCTGAGGGGGGAGACCCACATTCCAATTCCTTTCCCACATCACATGGGGGGATTGAACCGGGGGCTCGCAGATGAGGGCCCAGCCACGGGGCTACAGGCTAGAAGGGAAGCATTGGCACCTTTTTCTGTTCATTTAAACTATTCAGCAAACTCCACATGGATTTGGGAATAGTTTCAAACAACTGGAAATATAATTTTTCAGCCACTAAACTCTGGAGACCATTTGGGTTTGTCTACAAAGCCCCTGGCAACGAGTCTCTGAGCCAGGTCAACATATTGAGTGGCTCCTGCTACAGCACTAAAAATAGCCATGTAGATGTTTGGGTTCAGGCTGGATCTCTGAAGCCCAGGAAGCAGGGAGGTCATTCAAATCCCAGGCTACTGCCTGAGACACAGCACCTACACAGCTGTTTTTAATGAAGAAGTGCAAACCCCACGAGCCCATGTCTGTCACCCCGGCTCTGAGACTCGCTGCCATGGGCATGTTTAAACATGATACTTTTCCCAAAGCCAAACACTCAATTTTCTCTGTGGACCCAGCCAGAATGGCCTGAAAAGTCCAGAGCTTTCTTCCCAGGATGGAGAGCACTAAAGAGACATTGCAGGAGGGAAGTAGTTTAATGTCACAGGCAGAGGGGGGATGATCAGGGTTAACATGGCAAGCGTTGTCACAGGGGGGGCCCTGAGTAAACGCTAGCCTCATATGCTGATAATGCTTTTGTAGGTAGTGGAAAGAATGTAGGGAAGAGTTAAAGGTAAAAATGCAGACTGAAAGGTTCCTTTGCAGGGTGCAAAAGCTGGGAAGGGGGAGGAAAGAGGAAAAGAACGGGTTAACTTGATGTTCCAGCAAAACCCGAAGATAAGAAGCTGAATCCAGCCCAAGGCCAGCTGTTACCTGCTAAGACAGAAGGGGGGAAGTTCAACCCCCCTGACCATCTGTGAGAAAGGAGAGTTGTTGAAAGAAATGCAGGGGCCACGAAAAGGAGCAAGATGGCGAAGACCAGCAAGGAACAAACAGAACTGTCTCACAGCCTTGAAACCGGTGTGTTTTGGGAAAGCTGAAGAAGCCACAGAAGGCCAGTTTGGACTGCTACACAAAGTATCAGGAACAAAAATCTCTGAAAGAGACGCCCCCAAGAGACCCCAGGACTTAAAACCCTCCCAGGAGCTAAGGCAAATCGGAGATCAACAGCAGACCCTGGGCGACCCGTGCACGGGATAAGAACTCCCATCCACCCCTCCCACTCTTCTGCTTACGTTACACTCAGGCTTGGGTGTGAGTATGAAAGTGGGCTAGGGTTTGGGGCACTAATGCTTTCTTCCTTCCTCTGAGTGATGTGGGGAACCCCCCCCGCCCCGCCCAGCACTTTCTGCTGTTATTTTATTATTTTATCAGTGAAGCTTTAAAACTCTATGTGCTCCGTCATCTTCCTCCCAACGATCCTGTGGCCTCAGCCTGATCACCTGATGCCTCAGGCAGATTGGTAACAGAAATCTGTCACAGCACCTCCCAGCCTTAGCCCTGGAGTCACAACCAGACTCCATAATAACAACCGCCCTTGCCCTCCCCTGGAATCTAGACACACCGGCTTTGTCACCAGAGTGTGTGAGTCCCCTCCATGGAGATCTCTGGCCCATGGCACTGACACGGTGCCCAGTTACTCTTCAGGGCTCGTGTGCTCCTCAAACAGCTGCTCCAGGCTGGGGCTGCACAGACACTCCCCATGTAGTTTACAGGCTCCGCAAGCCCTGACAGAAAGAGGTTTTTCTAGGACCCTGAGCTCTGACAGCATTTCTGCTCCTGGCCCTGCCATGGTGACAGGCTGCACCTGCTGTGAGAGCCTGGTCTGCCCCTCACAGAGCATGCGGGGACATTGTCTGTGTCCATGTCTCCTTCAATCCATTCCTGGGATGGGGAACAGCAGCCGCTGGGCTCCTCCCTTCACCCCCCAGGGCAGAGAAGCGAGAGCCTTCAGCCTCCTGGGCAGTGGGGCCTCCCAGAACCGATTCCTGGGCCAACATGAAAGTGTCTCCACCCGAAGAGCTCTGCACATCTGGCAAATACCCAGATGTGCCCCTGAGATGAGGGGTCAGGGCTGGTACTCACCCCTTCCCACCCTAGGAGGAGAGGGGGCCTTGGAGCTGCCCATGCTGCTCTCAGCCTGGGTGAAGCCAGCTTGACAGGTGATAGAGCCAGTGCCCTGAGCTGTCAGAGCCGTCACTGACAGGGCAGGAGCAGTGTGGGATAGCACTGGGGACTCTGTGCACTTCTGGGGCTGTTATGCCAGCAACCCCAGTGCAGACTGGCTCGGTGCAGGGCCTTACAGCAATCAGCATTGCTCTAGTCCAGTCTGAGCCACACAGTGGCTGTGACATCACTGTGCTGCTGGGAGCTTGTGTGTGTGGGCGTGAGGGGTGGGACAGGCTGGATTTCCCTGCTGCAGACAAACAGGGTGACGTGGCCAGAGTACCTGCAGAGCCTGCTCCACTTGTGAGCACCCCAGGGACTGGCCATATGAGAAATGTGCACTGAATTAATTTAATCACTTTGAAAACCAATGTAATGATCCTGGAGCAAACCCTGCTGTGACTCTCTGAACTCTATGTGGACAGGGATGATCTGGTTTAACTGTATGTGCGTCAGGAACTGTCCTGAACTGAGTGAAGCTCAGTCACTCCCAGAGCAAAATCTGAGTGTCATGGGGTCTGGCTCTTTGACAGGTGCCTGTGAGGGAGAACAAGCCAACCCAGACCCACTTGCGAGTAACTAAATCCCTGTTTGACTGGTTGGCAGCTCTCCTAGAGCTCTGCTGAAGGGGTTCCTCTTGAGAGGAAGCTGCTGGTGAAAGGGGTTCCCAGGAGAGCTCACCAGACCAAGGGGCCTGGGTGCTTCTGGACAGAGGGGCTCCCCTAAGGGAGAGAAGCTTCCAGGGATCACAACGACAGCCACAGTAGCAGCAGCAGGACAGAAGCCTTGGGAGTTGCTCCTGGCTAGAGACAGTGGCTGCAGGCAGGAGTGATGGAAGCACCCTAAAAGTGGGGTGCCACAGATGCCTGAAATGCAGGCCTGCCTCTACTGCACACCGCCCCCTGAGGCACCACCCCCACACCACCCCTTCTCCCAAGACCCCACTCTCTGCTCCCTCCTCTCTGCTCCCTCCCCTCATCTCTCAACCTTACAGGTGGTAAAAAGTGGGGGGATCACCCCTTGGCCCCCCCATTCCAGTACCCCTGGCTGCAAATGAGGCTGCAGGGTATAAAGATACAGTCTGACCTGACCCCAGTTCTGGGAAGAAGGGTTGAGGGCTCCTGATTCCATGAGGGAGTTGGAACCAAGCCCAGCTCCGAGAAGGAGGTCTGAGGACTCCTGACTTGAGGAGAGTGAGGAGTTTGAATGAGAGCCAGGGACTGGAGCAGAGAGAAGGAAAAGTTTTTATTTGGGGGTTTACTTGGACTCAGAGTGGACCCCAGCAGGAGACTTTTGTCTCAGACCTTTTAGACTACATTGAGTAATTTGAGTGCTAAAAAGAGTTATCTTAGGCAGGGACACCCTTATAGGGACACCCTGAACCAGCTGATGGGGGTGCTGAAAGGCACTATCTTATAAGAACATGGTATCAGGAGTGAAATCCAAGATCCCATCCCACCAAGGAGGGATGGCAGAGCAGCCTGGTGCAGACCCCTTCCATGATGGTGGTGGAACATTCATTCTCTGAAGCTGGTGTTTGGAGGCCCAGCAACAACCACGGAAGTTCCAACTCCTAGTTTTGGAAGTGCCCCGAAAGACAGTGATGCATCAAGGAGATCCAGTGACTTGAAAGAGTCGGCCACCACAGACAATGACAGAGAAGAAGGCATAGGACTGGTCTAATGCTGTGACCATGGGCAAGATGGGAATACAAGATGGGGCTACCCCCCAAGAACAAGGACAGTGAGACTAGCCAGGTTTCTAGAACACTCAGAGAACAGGGAAGTTCCAGGTTATTAAAGATACTATTCCGTGGGGATGTCAGGCCCAGGCTACAGTTGAAGCAGAGGACTGTGGGAATCCCATTTTGGGCCAGGAAGAGTGACCCTCCAGTATTAATTTCTTTCAAGTGTGGGGAAAGGGGGCACATAAAAAGATGCTGCTCTACGAGAATGTTAGATTTTGGACAGAGGGATGTCACTATGGGGCAGTAAGAGTTTCTAGTAGTGGGCAAAATGGACAGCTAAGAAAGCAAGCCCTGGGGTATAAGCTTCAGGGGGTGAGGCCAGCCGTAGATTTCACACATCCCTCTGCTTACTGGGGATGCCTTAATCTCGCACTCAGAGTCAAAACATCGGAATTTATGGAGCTTGAGTAGGTTCCTCCAGCAGGCTGAAAGGACTCCATTAGAAAACCGTCCAACCAGCAGCTTGAGTGCACACCAGGATCTCTGAGACACAGGAGCCGCGAGAAAAGCTACATGTGATTTAAGCATTCTGGTTGTCCTGAGAGATGTGTGCAACACGAGTTCTGACAGCGCTACGGAACAGGTCTGTAATTTGCAGGCCCAGGTGTGTTTTTTTTACTGGAGCTGGTCAAGCAACAGGAGCAAGTCCAGTGATCGGAAGACAGGCAGAAGGAGCTACTCACGGATCAGGAGAGAAGCCACCTGGCTGTGACTAAGGATAGCAAACAAGTCAAGGCATTCAGAAAGGAGTTTGGTAGAAGAAATTCTACTTTAGCTTCCAAGAAGCTCAGCAATTGAAGATAAGGCTGAGGCCTTGCAGGAGCTAGAGGAGATGCACTCCCCAAGGGACTGGATCTCAGCCCAAGCCATCCAGCAGAGCAGGAGTTGGCCTGTCTCAGCACTGGAAGGCAACCGGCAAACAGCAGTGTTTGTTGCAGAAGGAGCTGGCTAAGCCCCAGAACCAGCTTATGATCAAGTGTGGAATGAAGCCCAACTCTGAAATGAATATGAAGTAGGAGAGTGCAGAGGCTGTGGTGACAGCCTTGTGGAAAGAGCTGAAATTATGCCAGAGAGAGGAGAGGTGGCTTCTCCAGAAAATGGATCAGCTGGGCAGTGAAGTATACCAGTCAGCTGGAGACAAAAACAATGCTGTGGTGGGTGTAGAGGTACTGGACTGTTGGATGGAAGATGAGCTGTCTGAGGTGGAGATTCCTCCTGCTGAAGGGAAAAGCCACCGTGTCAATGACAGAAAAACAGGAGGAAGCCGAAATAAGAAGGGAAGAGACAGGGGACCTCTCCCCTTGAGAGGCCTGAACAAGCAACACAAAGCCCCAACCACAGCTGGGCTAAAAAGAAATCCATCCTAAAGGAAATGCTGTCCCCCCTCCCCCCAGGAGAGGAGCAGAAAGGTGATTCTCCAGCTGATAAAATTGCACACAGTCATGTGGGTAGAAGAAGATCTGAAATGGGCTCCCAGAGCTCCTTTGCTGTAGGCTACAGGAAAAAAATATGTGTCCAGCAGTAATTAGAGACACTAACAAGGAGCTAGTCTGAATGGAAGATGACCTTGACTCCAAAAGGTGCATGTGTGAGTGTATCCTGGGGGCTGCTGTTGGAGAGACCGTGAGGCTGCCTGATACTGGCTACCAATTGTAATGGAATGCTGAATTGTATTATATTGTTCAGCTGCTAAGTGGCCCTGTGTGTAACTTTTATCAGCTATACCTTGTAGTGCATTAAAGGATCTTATACTGAAGACATCTGAATCAGAAGGAAGTTCTGTAGCCAGCCCATATTTGGTACAGAAGCATGACATGGTGTCAGAAATAAATTAGTACAAGAGGACAGCAGAAACAGAAGGAACAAAGCAACAGGGGTGTTAGAGAGATCGAAAAAAGCAACAAAGGTTGAAGGATCTCATCAACATGCCACTTTTCAATGCCCCAGAGAACTTGAGCTTTGACAAATCTTCACAGTGGACAGAGTAGAAGTGTATTTTTCAAGATTTCTCATTGCAAACGAGCTCCACAAGGGAACTGGAGATATACAGGTATCTTCTTTAATTTATACTATGGGGAAGTAGGCAAAGCATATCTTTAAATACTTTAACTTTATCACGTCACAAAGAGAAATATGCTTTAAGAAAGAGCTTGTTTCAAGAACCAGGGGGAAATGTTGAATGTTTTATTAGAGTTCTGCATGCATTGGTTGAAAACTGTAATTTTGAAACTGCAAAACATGAAAATGTCACAGACAAGCTGGTTATTGGGTTAACAGATAAAAAACTTTCACAACAGCTACAATTGAAGAGAGATTTAACTCTAGCCACAGCTATATAGAAAGCAAAACTGTCTGAACAGCAGAACAAAGGAAGGAGCAACTTGAAAAACCTGAAACTAGCTGAGAAGGTGTAAACAAATACTTGAGTGCTAAAAGTCATTATTATAAAACCCCTGAGGCAAGGAGAGAGAACTTTCAGTTAAGGGGGACCTAACAGCCTAGCAGCAGGGCAGAACAGAGCAGAGAGACCTCCTGCTCCTCCTCCAGCTCAGAGAGCTCGGCTGGCCTTGGCTTCAGGGCTGCTGCCATGCCAGGCTGCCAGTCACAATGTGGTCCTCTCCATTTGTCCCCATGCACAACACTAATCAATTCTCCCCAGCCACATGTAAAGGAAACCCATCCCAGTAGCTCTCACTTACCAGTGAATCTCTCCAGCATTTCCTTCATGTCAAGGTGGACTTTACACATGTTCTTCAGAACAGGAGAAACAGCTCCTGGTTGCTGGAGTGTCACATTCTCACTCCTGTGAAGAAAACGTCTCATCATCACTGGGCTGCTCTGCACCCACATCGCTCAAGTGAATAGAAGGAGAAATGGAAATGGGAACAGACCTGATCAATGCGCTTTTCATATTCTGAGAGGAAACAGAGAAACAAGGAGCTGGGTTAACACCACGTGCAAAAATACTGAGTGACTTTCCATTCTCTATCAGATTTAATGCACAACTTTTAGCACATCAGGGCCAGCCCCTTCTGTGCAGGACATTCAATAGTGATCACTGATTTCAGGTGCCCCATCTCCCTGGCTCTGACTCTCAGAGGAGCTGAGTGTCATGTGACAATGGCACAGACTGGGAGAATGCAATGCTCTGAACAAGGAGCGTTGTTAGAATAAAGACAGCAGGGTCATCCTTAACACTCCTCTGTCCAGCTTCCTGCTACAGATCTAAGGAGACAGTGCACATAGGGTGACCAGGTGACCCGATTTTATAGGGACAGTCCCGATTTTTGGGTCTTTTTCTTACATAGGCTCCTATTACCCCCCACCCCGTCCCGATTTTTCACATTTGTTGTCTGGTCACCCTAAGTGCACAGATCCTCACTCTGAGCAGCTGCAGCTCCCATTGCTTCAGCTGGCGTGTGGGTGCTCAGCACTTCCCAATACTGTATCAGGCCCCAGATGTCTCAGGCTGGCACTCAGAGATGGAGGCTCCCAGCATCAATGGTCAGTGATGAGAGTCTCGGCCCTTTCATTTCATTAATTTGAGAGTCCACTTTGGCTCATGGTTCCCCCTCTGGGCCCTCCCTCATCACCCCATGAGTCAGAGTCCCTACTCATCACCACATGGGGCCAGGTTTCAGCAGTCAAAGCAGGAACCATGTCAGCCTCTTGCTCCTTCTGTTCCACCCATTAGACAGGCAAAGGCCCTGCTGTGTCTGCATTTCCCTGTAACAGAGACTGCATGTGTCGGTGCTGACAGGGCCTCATACCTGGGCTTCTGTTTGTGTCAGGAAACTGTCAGACCAGGCACTGGAAATAGGATTTGTCACTAATTCCTGGGATCTAGTCACTGACCAGAGTGTTTAATGCTGCAGGGAGGGATGGAGAGGTTGTTAACAGTCTCACCTTCAACAGCTCAATGGCTGGTCTCAGAAACTGGTGCAGTTTCTTAAATTCACGTGTGATTGACGGTCTCCAATTCTCCACGTCGTCCTTTAGTAAAAAATGGAGAAGGAACAAACCCCAGAAGCCAGAGATAGGCACACACTGTGCTGAATCTGCCTCATGGATCAGGGAACAGGGCTGCTAGTCATGGGCTGCAGGGATCACAAACCACATGAATTTTTTGAGTAATGCATTATGGGAAGGAACTGAAAAATGTCCTTCTGAGCCTGAGAAAACAACCCGGTTACACCGCAACCACTGCCCCGTATCACCACCCCCCATTCCTCCCGTGCTCTGTGGGGGCTCTGAGGGGCAGGATGAGAGGACTGTGTCCCTCTCCTGAAGATCATGGCGCTCTCGACAGATTGGAGGCAGGCAAGGGCAGCCTCTTGGTGACCACCTGACCACTGAACCTGGGGTGGGAGCATCTGCCCACTCCCTTAAACCAGTGACCTCCCAGCAGACCCTTATGGTAAGGGGCAGCTTGTACCTGGGAATTCAGTGGGGAGCCAGACCAGTGGAGGGGAGTAACTTGCACACAGAGGTCAGTGGTACAAGGCTGGGGTGATAGGGGCCAGCACATGGAGGCAGTGGTATGTGTGGGGGGATGGGTTCAGCAATTGGAGACAGTGGTACATGGACGGGCTAGGGACCAGTACATGGAGTGGGTGGCACATGGAGGCAGTCGTGCATGGGTAATGGGAGGCAGAAAATGGGGCAGCCCTTTACACATCTAAGGAGCAGGAGCTCTATCTGCTACACAGGCTGAGGGACCAGGCTGTCAATCAGTAAATGTTGTAGCTTTGATTGGCTGCCCTTCACTATTAGGCAGACAATCAGATGGGATTTTCCCACAAACTGAAGATGTTCCCTGCCCACCTGTTAGAAGATCTGCAAACCCACAGAGCTGGCAGCTACAGGTGCATGGCTGAGTGCATGAGGAGTGTGTGCAGGGCTGATGGGAGAGAGAAGGTGCCATAATTGTACTTTGGCCCCAGCTCAGGCCCAGCTCAGCCCCAAACTGTTGATAATTAGAATGAAATGGGGGTGAAAAAGAAGGGGTGTGGCCCCTGCAAATATGATATACCTGGACCCCAAATTTTTTTAGACAGGCCTGATTATGTGTGTGCGTGTGTGTTTACAAAACAGTTGGTGTGTGGATGCAGGATGAATTGGCTGGAGACGGGACACTAGATGGGGAGGGTTCTGAGTTACTACAGAGAATTCTTTCCCAGGTATCTTCCTGGTGGGTCTTGCCCACATGCTCTGGGTTTAACTGATCATCATATTTGGGGGCAGGAAGGAAGTTTCCCCCAGGTTAGATTGGCAGAGACTGTGGGAGTTTTTCACTTTCTTATGCAGCATGAGCATGGGTCACTTGTAGATTTAAACTAGTATAAATGGTAAATTCTCTGAACTTGAAGTCTTTAAATCATGATTTGAGGCCTTCAGTAACTCCATCAGTGGTTAGGGGTCTATTACAGGAGTGGGTGGGTTAGGTTCTGTGGCCTGCAAGATGCAGGAGGTCAGACTAGATGATCACGATTGTCCCTTCTGACTTCAGTAAGCGTATCTGAGTAACAATATAGCTCACACTTTTAAATCTCACCAGTGTCCCTTAAGTGACTTACCACAAGATGTCAGAACATGTCAGTATTAGAGCTGAGTTGGTCTAATATTTACTTTATTTTCTTTCTTGATATAGGAATCAGATACAATGGTCCTGTCAGATTATTTCTAAGTTATTATCTGCAAAATAACCCCTAGAATTTTCAGTTGCCTAAGTAGCCTCTGGAATAATGGTTAAAGTTGCCATTCCCTCCTCCCCCCGTCTGAAAGGACACCCTGTAGGCAGGCATGAAATTTGCCCCCATCCCCTGCCCATGTGGTTCCATTGGTCTGACTGGAGCAGCCCCCCCCCCCCCCACATAGAAGTCAAACTACACCTATGAAAAGAAGAAAGGGTGGGGACAGGTGTTTCTGTGTGGGATCTGCCTCTGGGTCCTAAGATCTATTTATTACTTCTTCTCTGCACTGTTTAAAGATAGAGATCATTATACTCAGTTGAAAATCTTTTGTTTTGTTAAGTGATACCTAGAAATGAAATCCCTGATATTAAATCAGATCTAAGTGTTAAGACTTAGACTGGCTATGGAGCAGTGTTTCAGTGAAAGATACTACCCAGCCTGCATTAGCAGTGTGGTTCCACTGACTGCTGACATCACTGAGAGCTGGGTTAAGAAGTGGGATTTCCAGATGTAGTATTTCAAAGGTTGCAGTAGAGAAGCAGGGGCCAACAGCAGTGGTACAGTGGCCAATGATGCGGAGTGAACAACAACAACTGTGAAGCAGTTGCCACAGTGGCATCAGCGACTGAGGCATTGGTTAATGGACTTCTTCCTCCCTGCAGGGTGGGAGGTGAACACATGTGACCACACCTCTGAAGTCTGGATCTTCACTGACCAAAAACAGCAGCTGTGAGTGGGGTGCAGTGGAGGGAGGGCAGTGACATGTTAAAGGAACATTTGTTTGTCAGACTTTCACACCACAAGGTGAGAAACTGAGGCAAAGGACACTGCCCAATGCACTCTGGGATGAGTGTTTTGCTCTTTGTCACATGCTTTTGCATTGTAGTTGTGGTGTTTTTCCAAATTAATGTTGGATTCCTTTCCTCTTTTTATTAAAAGTTTTCTTTGCCATACCCAGACTCAGTGCTTGTGAGAGGGGAAGGGTTGCCTCCAAGGAGCACGGGGGGTGGTGTTTAATTTTCCCAGATTACTGGGAGTGGGGTGTCAATCCAGGTCTGTTTTGTATTCTTAAGAGGAACCTCTAGATATTGAACCTGATCCTTGTTGCTGCCGACTCCAATTGGCTTCACCTGGGTGCAATGGGGCAATGGGATCACATGCAAACATTGCACCCACTGCTATAAATGTGACCCATCTCCCTCCTGCCTCCAGAGAGCCCTGGGGTGAGTCTGTGCCACTGCCCACAGACCAGGAACTGCCCTTCTGCCCAGGACTGCTGCACTGGGATCCCCACCAGAAATGTTTCCTGTTCCTGGCACCATGGCACCACCCCCAGGCAAGCAGTCAGAACTGCAGCCTGCAGCTCTACAGCCCTGCATTCATAGAATCACATCATAGAACATCAGGGTGGGAAGGGACCTCAGGAGGTCATCTAGTCCAACCCCCTGCTCAAAACAGGACCAATCCCCAATTAAATCATCCCAGCCAGGGCTTTGTCAAGCCCCTTCCCTGATTCCTGGGAATGCGGCAGGGGGAAAGGCTCTGGGAAGGATAAACCCAGACACCCACCTGCCACTCTGTGGTTTTCTTCTCCTCTTTGGACGCCAATGCCAGGCACTCCTCTAACTGCTTCCTCAGAGGACCCAGGGCTCCCTGGAGTTTCACCTGCAGGGGCACCCTGTGTGATAAACAGCCATTAATCTGCATATCCAATGAGTGGAGACTGTAGAAGGCAGGGCTGGATGAAGCAGAAGTCCTTTAGGCCCATGGCTAGGCCATAGCGACTGGAGTCATGCGATTACATCAGGTTCTTGGTTTCCATTAAAAACAGGATGTTTCAAATCCTCAACATTACAAAGAAAATATTGAAAACATGCCCCGAGTGTGACAGATACAGTGATACCTGCCTGAGTCTGCAGAGAGCCTGAACCAAGCACCCTGAGAGGGGACTGCCCCATTCATCTCTGTGCGGAATTGATGCAACGCCTCACTGATCTGGGCACCCTGCCAATCCCCACCCCGAGCAGGAGGCTCTGTGTCTGGCAAGAGAGAAGCAGCTCAGATGTCCTGCCCCCCTTCCCATCAGAGATACCCTGGCTGATGGAGTGGGGGGAACTCTGACCCTTTTCCTCTCTCTCTCTTTCAGGGGGGAAGGGATCTCTCCCGTTGGTCCTGTGGGGAGAAGGGATCCTCTGACCCTTGTCTTCCCAGTGGGAGGGAGCCTCCAGACATTCAACCTGTCTGTCCAAAGAGGTTTGCAGGCCCCAACCCCCAGCAGACAGCCCTGGGTGGGTGCCCCCTTCCACAGTCACTGCCAATGGGGCAGGGTCACAGCAGGGCCCAGTGCCAGGGTGTGGAGCCTGGGCCCTGGGTGGTCTCAGTCCTGCCCTGTGTGAAACGCACATTTCACTAACAAAGCCCTGGGTGGAGGCAGCAGGGTCAGCACTGCAGGGCCTGGGCCATCATGTGGCTGAGACGCTGATCCTGGGAGAGACTCTTCTCCACTCAGCTGCCACACTCAGAGCTGTCTCAGGAATGCAGGAGTTAAGCTGAAGTTTCTGGACACTGAGCCCAGCCCCTGCCAAGAAGCCTCTCACACTCACCAGGGCAGGAAAGGACTCGAGAGGGGGTGGATCTGTGTGTTTGTGGAGCAGCACCAAGGAGACATCTGGGGCCCAGGATCTGGCCCCTTCTCTGTGCTCCTTCCCCTGCCTCATTTCTCAGTTGTCCCTTGTTTGGGGGATGTCACTCATCTCAAGGCAGCTCCCCACGTCCCACACTGAACCCCCTCCCTTGCCTGCTCCCAAAAGCTCCACGTCCCTTCCTTTGGGCCCCTCCTCAAAGAGCCCTTTTCACAGAGCCCCACAGCACACACACTCCACCTGTGCTGGATAAAGCTGCAGTGGGTTGAGCCTGGGCATCCACAGGAAACTCCTGTGAAATGGAGAATCCAAGGTGCCTCCTTCCTGATACTGCAAAGGGGCAAATAAACCCCAACCTCACAGTCTGAGCCAACCTCTTGGGCCTCACCTGCACACTGAAGTGGGAAGGGCAGAAGCCACTCCGGTGCCCTATGGTAGCTGTGGTCACCTCGCACTGGACGCCCTGCCTGGCAGAGAGACAGAGGTGGACGACTACACTCTTCTCTGCACAGCTGGCAGTTGGACCCTTCACTATCCAACCTGGTAGTGCCTGGATCCATGGATCCACCTCCCTTAAGCCATGTGAGTGTTTCAGTGAAGGAAGATTATATTTCCACTCAGACCCCACCAGCTGGCTCTGGGGAGAAATATAATGGGGCCTTTATGGGGTTCCTTCCACAAGAGCAGCAGTGATTTCTACCTTGTAATCCAGGGCAGCCTCCTGTATGGGGAGCACTGCATGAGCTCGGTGAGCCCAGGACTCTCTGCAAACCACACAGATGGCTTCTCAGTCCTCCTCACAGAAGAGATGGAGCTTCTCCTGGTGTCTCTCACACAGATTTTTCTTCTGCTCTTTCCATGGCTGTAACCTCAGTTTTTTGATGTTCTCTACAATATCAGCCAGCTGTGTGTTGGGCCGGAGTTTCTGTTTCTGGAAGGTTTCAGAGGAACAGCCGTGTTAGTCTGTATTCGCAAAAAGAAAAGGAGTACTTGTGGCACCTTAGAGACTAACCAATTTATTTGAGCATGAGCTTTCGTGAGCCACAGCTCACTTCATCAGATGTGTACCGTGGAAACTGCAGCAGACTTTATATACACACAGAGAATATGAAACAATACCTCCTCCCACCCCACTGTCCTGCTGGTAATAGCTTATCTAAAGTGATCAGCAGGTGGGCCATTTCCAGCACAAATCCAGGTTTTCTCACCCTCCACCCCCCACACAAATTCACTCTCCTGCTGCCAGCAGGAGATGAATTTGTGTGGGTGAGGAGAAAATGGATTTGTGCTGGAAATGGCCCACCTGCTGATCACTTTAGATAAGCTATTACCAGCAGGACAGTGGGGTGGGAGGAGGTATTGTTTCATATTCTCTGTGTGTATATAAAGTCTGCTGCAGTTTCCACGGTACACATCTGATGAAGTGAGCTGTGGCTCACGAAAGCTCATGCTCAAATAAATTGGTTAGTCTCTAAGGTGCCACAAGTACTCCTTTTCTTTTTGTTTCTGGAAGGGAGCTCACCACTGGGGACAGGGGAACTTTGTGTCTGATTCAGGCTCCCTGTGCTCACTGTACTGGGTGATGCAGACTCGGCAGAAGTTGTGTCCACAGTCTATGGTCACCAGCTCTGTCAGATACTCCAGGCAGATGGAGCAAGTGGCTTCTTCTAATGCGTTCCTTAGCCCTGGTCTACACTAGGACTTTAGGTCGAATTTAGCAGCGTTAAATCAATTTAAACCTGCACCCGTCCACACAATGAAGCCCTTTATTTCGACTTAAAGGGCTCTTAAAATCGATTTCCTTACTCCACCCCTGACAAGTGGATTAGCGCTTAAATCGACATTGCCGGCTCGAATTTGGGGTACTGTGGACACAATTCGATGGTATTGGCCTCCGGGAGCTATCCCAGAGTGCTCCATTCTGACCGCTCTGGACAGCGCTCTCAACTCAGATGCACTGGCCAGGTAGACAGGAAAAGAACCGCGAACTTTTGAATCTCATTTCCTGTTTGGCCAGCGTGGCAAGCTGCAGGTGACCATGCAGAGCTCATCAGCACAGGTGACCATGATGGAGTCCCAGAATCGCAAAAGAGCTCCAGCATGGACCGAATGGGAGGTACGGGATCTGATCGCTGTTTGGGGAGAGGAATCCATGCTATCAGAACTCCGTTCCAGTTTTCGAAATGCCAAAACCTTTTCTGAAAATCTCCCAGGGCATGAAGGACAGAGGCCATAACAGGGACCCGAAGCAGTGCCGCGTGAAACTGAAGGAGCTGAGGCAAGCCTACCAGAAAACCAGAGAGGCGAACAGCCGCTCTGGGTCAGAGCCCCAAACATGCCGCTTCTATGATGAGCTGCATGCCATTTTAGGGGGTTCAGCCACCACTACCCCAGCCGTGTTGTTTGACTCCTTCAATGGAGATGGAGGCAATACGGAAGTAGGTTTTGGGGACGAAGAAGATGATGATGAGGAGGTTGTAGATAGCTCACAGCAAGCAAGCGGAGAAACCGGTTTTCCCGACAGCCAGGAACTGTTTCTCACCCTAGACCTGGAGCCAGTACCCCCCGAACCCACCCAAGGCTGCCTCCTGGACTCAGCAGGCGGAGAAGGGACCTCTGGTGAGTGTACCTTTTAAAATGCTATACATGGTTTAAAAGCAAGCATGTGAAAGGATTACTTTGCCCTGGCATTTGTGGTTCTGCCTTTGCAAAAGTTTTCTGGGGAGGGCAGCCTTATTTCATCCTTCATGGTAGGACACTTTACCACTCCAGGCCAGCAACACGTACTGGGGAATCACTGTAGAACAAAGCATTGCAGTGTATGTTTGCTGGCATTCAACCAAAATCTGTTCACGCTGTGGGAGGAGGCAAAATGCGACCTTGTAACGAAAGCACATGTGCTATGTATGTAATGTTAACAGCAAGGTTTACCCTGAAAGAGTGTAGCGACTGTTTTATAAAATGTGTCTTTTTAAATACCGCTGTCCCTTTTTTTTTCTCCACCAGCTGCATGTGTTTCAATGATCACAGGATCTTCTCCTTCCCAGAGGCTAGTGAAGCTTAGAAAGAAAAAAAAACGCACTCGCGATGAAATGTTCTCCGAGCTCATGCTGTCCTCCCACACTGACAGAGCACAGACGAATGCGTGGAGGCAAATAATGTCAGAGTGCAGGAAAGCACAAAATGACCGGGAGGAGAGGTGGAGGGCTGAAGAGAGTAAGTGGCGGGCTGAAGACAGGGCTGAAGCTCAAAGGTGGCGGCAGCGTGATGAGAGGAGGCAGGATTCAATGCTGAGGCTGCTGCAGGACCAAACCAGTACGCTCCAGTGTATGGTTGAGCTGCAGCAAAGGCAGCTGGAGCACAGACTGCCACTGCAGCCCCTCTGTAACCAACCGCCCTCCTCCCCAAGTTCCATAGCCTCCACACCCAGACGCCCAAGAACGCGGTGGGGGGCCTCCGGCCAACCAGCCACTCCACCACAGAGGATTGCCCAAAAAAAAGAAGGCTGTCATTCAATAAATTTTAAAGTTGTAAACTTTTAAAGTGCTGTGCTTAAAGTGCTGTGTGGCATTTTCCTTCCCTCCTCCACCACCCCTCCTGGGATACCTTGGTAGTCATCCCCCTATTTGTGTGATGAATGAATAACGAATGCATGAATGTGAAGCAACAATGACTTTATTGGCTCTGCAAGCAATGATTAAAGGGAGGAGGGGAGGGTGGTTAGCTTACAGGGAAGTAGAGTGAACCAAGGGGCGGGGGGTTCATCAAGGAGAAACAAACAGAACTTTCACACCGTAGCCTGGACAGTCATGAAACTGTTTTTCAAAGCTTCTCTGATGCGTACCGCGCCCTCCTGTGCTCTTCTAACCGCCCTGGTGTCTGGCTGCGCGTAACCAGCAGCCAGGCGATTTGCCTCAACCTCCCACCCCGCCATAAACGTCTCCCCCTTACTCTCACAGATATTGTGGAGCACACAGCAAGCAGTAATAACAGTGGGAATATTGGTTTCGCTGAGGTCTAAGCGAGTCAGTAAACTGCGCCAGCGCGCCTTTAAACGTCCAAATGCACATTCTACCACCATTCTGCACTTGCTCAGCCTGTAGTTGAACAGCTCCTGACCACTGTCCAGGCTGCCTGTGTATGGCTTCATGAGCCATGGCATTAAGGGGTAGGCTGGGTCCCCAAGGATACATATAGGCATTTCAACATCCCCAACAGTTATTTTCTGGTCTGGGAATAAAGTCCCTTCCTGCAGCTTTTGAAACAGACCAGAGTTCCTGAAGATGCGAGCATCATGCACCTTTCCCGGCCATCCCACGTTGATGTTGGTGAAACGTCCCTTGTGATCCACCAGAGCTTGCAGCACTATCGAAAAGTACCCCTTGCGGTTTATGTACTCGGCGGCTTGGTGCTCCGGTGCCAAGATAGGGATATGGGTTCCGTCTATAGCCCCACCACAGTTAGGGAATCCCATTGCAGCAAAGCCATCCACTATGACCTGCACATTTCCCAGGGTCACTACCCTTGATATCAGCAGATCTTTGATTGCGTGGGCTACTTGCATCACAGCAGCCCCCACAGTAGATTTGCCCACTCCAAATTGATTCCCAACTGACCGGTAGCTGTCTGGCGTTGCAAGCTTCCACAGGGCTATCGCCACTCGCTTCTCAACTGTGAGGGCTGCTCTCATCTTGGTATTCATGCGCTTCAGGGCAGGGGAAAGCAAGTCACAAAGTTCCATGAAAGTGCCCTTACGCATGCGAAAGTTTCGTAGCCACTGGGAATCGTCCCAGACCTGCAACACTATGCGGTCCCACCAGTCTGTGCTTGTTTCCCGAGCCCAGAATCGGCGTTCCACAGCATGAACCTGCCCCATTAGCACCATGATGCATGCATTGGCAGGGCCCATGCTTTCAGAGAAATCTGTGTCCATGTCCTGATCACTCACGGGACCGCGCTGACGTCGCCTCCTCGCCCGGTATCGCGTTGCCATGTTCTGGTGCTGCATATACTGCTGAATAATGCGTGTGGTGGTTAATATGCTCCTAATTGCCAAAGTGAGCTGAGCGGGCTCCATGCTTGCCGTGGTATGGCGTCCGCACAGAAAAAAGGCGCGGAACGATTGTCTGCCGTTGCTCTGACGGAGGGAGGGGCGACTGACGACACGGCTTACAGAGTTGGCTTCAGGGAGCTAAAATCAACAAAGGGGGTGCCTGTACATCAAGGAGTATTTCAGGCAGGACTGCACGGAGGGTTCCAATAAGAAATGGTGCACCTAAGTTATCGTTGTTATTGGAACAAGGAGGTTAGCCTGGCCTCTGATTGATACATGGCTAGATTTACCTCGCTGCACCTTCTCTGTGAGTGACTGCAGTGTGACCTAGAGGAATGAGTCCCCTAGACAGGGGAGGAGTGTAGCCAGACAGCCAGCCCCCCCCCCCCCCCCCCCCCCAGACCAGCATTGCTGGAAACACAGGAGGAAGCAGGAACAGGGCACTTAACATATATTCCAGCACAGCCTTTGAAGCACAGGTGTGCTGCTACAATGTGCCTCTGGGAACAGATACGAAGATTAAGCTCACAGCAGGCAGAGGCCCTGTGACAGACATGGCTCTTAGCCCCTACTAAGTAGCGTGATGCACACACACCAACATCCTAGGTGGGAAAATATTTACCCTGATAAAAGAAATGTCCAGTAGTCGAAACTTATTGTTTCTCTCCCTTGCAAGTGTAAACTACTCTTGCAAAAGCTGGCGTCACCCCGACAGACCAGCCTCAATTTGGCATAAGAAAGGAGAAAGAGAATAAAGGAGTACAGAGGTATAAGTAGGGGACCTACAGCACCATGATTTTTGAGTGCTTTTCACTATCTATCTGCTGGTCAGATAAGTGACAGCCTCCCAAGGCTTCTGCAGCTAAGAGGGTCCCTACGCCTTGTCCCTTATTCGTCTTTCCGCGGAATTGAGTGACCGATCCTGGCTTGGCACCGCTGGAATCGAGAGATGCAAGGAGGGTAAGAAGCACCCACACCTGATCTCCTATCTTTAGTGTACACATATTTTGAAATAGAGCTCTATACTTTGTTTTCTTTCTTTGGGATTGTGGCTTCAGTTTTGTAACTTGTTTGTGTGTGTGTAACATCTCTACATTTAAATAAGTAGGCACTAGCAATTTTGTAACCACATGATTAGAATCTAGCTTAATAAATTTTGGTAACCATTTATGCATAAGCCTGACTTGTTTTCTCTGGTTTACTGTAAAGCAGCCATCACAATTAAAGAACCTCAGCCGTTTTGGCTCTAAAGCCTGGCCATTAGGTGAGAGTACTAAGAGCCTAGCGTTGAGTTGTGCCGCCTCCACGGGGCAAACTCTTGGGGCACCTGTCAGTCAATCCTGGCTGCCCGCTGCGAAGGAGCTCTGAGCTCTAGCAGTTAAAGTCACGGGTGTGGAGAGGCTCTTAGTGCTGCCATTGGGGCACCTGTCAGTCAGTATTGACTGCCCGCTGCGAAGGAGCTCTGAGCTCTAGCAGTTAAAGTCACGGGTGGTTAGGACCTTGGGGCATCCGTCAGCCTAGCCCGGGCTGCCCGCCGCGAAGGGACAGTGCGTCCTAGCGGTTAAAGTCACGGATGGTATAAACGGGCATAGCTGGCACCTCACCAAACATCCTTGGCCGTCGGCTAACAAGGAGGCAAATGAGTACAAAACAAATCTGGTCTATTTCTTGTTTTGACCCACTCCATCTATCTTTTACATCTTTGGCTGGCAGCAGACGGTGCAGAAGGACTGCATGCCATCCACATCTCATGGCTGCTCGGCAGAAGATGGTACAGTACGACTGCTAGCCATCCCCATCTCTTGCCTGCCTGGCAGAAGATGGTGCAATACGACTGCTAGCAATCCTCATCTCTTGCCTGCCTGGCAGAAGATGGTACAGTGCGACTGCTAGCAGTCCGTATCGCCTGCCCGCTCACCATAAGACGGTTCAATAGGACTGACTGCAGTACTAAAGAGAATGACCTGGTCAAGTCACTCCAAATTTAGTCCCTGCGCCCATGTCTGCCCAGGCACTCCCAGCCGACGCGGCCAGGAGCACCTCGGACACGATGAGGACGACTACCAATCGTATTGCACCGTCTGCTGCCAGAAGGCAAGGGGTTGCTGCTACTGTGCAGCAAAGCCGTACCGCATCTGCCAGCACCCAGGAGACATAGGGTGACGGTTACCTGAGCGGGCTCCATGCTTGCTGTGGTATGGCGTCTGCACAGGTAACTCAGGAAAAAAGGCGCGAAATGATTGTCTGCCCTTGCTTTCATGGAGGGAGGGAGGGAACGGGGGCCTGACGACACGTACCCAGAACCACCCGCGACAATGTTTTAGCCCCATCAGAGTGCTCCATTGTGACTGCTCTGGACAGCACTCTCAGATGCCCGATTGTTTGCCATTGCTCTGACGCTGGGAGGGGCGCTTACAGGGTTGGCTTCAGGGAGCTAAAATCAACAAAGGGGGTGGCTTTACATCAAGGAGTATTTCAGGCAGGACTTCACGGAGGGTTCCAATAAGAAATGGTGCACCTAAGTTATTGTCCTTATTGGAGCAAGAAGGTTAGCCTGGCCTCTGATTGATACATGGCTAGATTTACCTCGCTGCACCTTCTCTGTAAGTGACTGCAGTGTGATCTAGAAGAATGAGTCCCCTAGACAGGGGAGGGGGGGAAGCAAATGAGTACAAAACAAATCTGGTCTATTTCTTGTTTTGATCCACTCCATCTATCTTTTACATCTTTGGCTGGCAGCAGACGGTGCAGAAGGACTGCATGCCATCCACATCTCATGGCTGCTCGGCAGAAGATGGTACAGTACGACTGCAAGCAGTCCTTATCGCCTGCCCGCTCACCATAAGACGGTTCAATAGGACTGACTGCAGGACTAAAGAGAATGACCTGGTCAAGTCACTCCAAATTTAGTCCCTGTGCCCATGTCTGCCCAGGCGTTCCTGATCGACCTCACAGAGGCGACCAGGAGCACCTCAGACATGACGATGACGGCTACCAGTCGTACTGTACCGTCTGCTGCCACAAGGCAAGGGGTTGCTGCTACTGTGTAGCAATGCCGTACCGCGTCTGCCAGCACCCAGGAGACATAGGGTGACGGTTACCTGAGCGGGCTCCATGCTTGCCATGGTATGGCGTCTGCACAGGTAACTCAGGAAAAAAGGCGCGAAATGATTGTCTGCCCTTGCTTTCACGGGGGGAGGGAGGGAACGGGGGGCTGACGATATGTACCCAGAACCACCCGCGACAATGTTTTAGCCCCATCAGGCATTGGGATCTCAACCCAGAATTCCAATGGGCAGCGGAGACTGCGGGAACTGTGGGATAGCTACCCACAGTGCAATGCTCCGGAAGTCGATGCTTGCCTCGGTACTGTGGAAGCACTCCGCCGAGTTAATGCACTTAATGCACTTAGAGCATTTTCTGTGGGGACACACACACTCGAATTTATAAAACCGATTTCTAAAAAACCGACTTCTATAAATTCGACCTTATTCCGTAGTGTAGACATACCCTCAGGGGAGCTACTGAGGCCATGGCTGTCTGTGTCTTGTTGACAGACTATCCCCTTGCTGTCTGG